AGCTGGTGGAGCTGGTGCAGTGGAGCGACCTGATCCTCTTCGACTACCTGACGGCCAACTTCGACCGGCTGGTCAGCAACCTCTTCAGCCTGCAGTGGGACCCGCGGGTCATGCACCGAGCCACCAGCAACCTCCACCGGGCCCCCAACGGCGGGCTGGTCTTCCTCGACAACGAGGCCGGCCTGGCGCACGGCTACCGGCTCCTCGCCATGTGGGACAAGTACAACGAGCCTTTGCTGCGCTCCGTCTGCGTCTTCCGCGAGGCCACCGCCCAGAAGGTGCGCGACTTGCACCGCCACCGGAACGCGGCCGCCGAGCTGCTCCGGCTCTACCGGACTCAGGAGCCCCTGGCCGAGCTGCTCGGCTTCCTCTCCGACCAGCAAGCCCAGCTGCTCCAAGACCGCATCGACTTGGTCCACAAGCACATTTTGCACTGCAAAGCCAAGGCCGCCGCTGGCGCCCTGTGACCTCCTTGGCCGGGCTGTGAAGAGGAGGAAGGGGGGGCTTGGAAGGAGGGGCCCCTGGAGCTGAGGGGGAATCCCCCACCGGGGGGGGATCCTTCGCCCTGGTGCCCACCTGGAAGGGGTCAGCCTGTGCCTCTAGTCCCAGCCCTGTTACTGGAATCCCGTCTGGGAAGTGTGTGAGGACTCCCAGCTAAACATTGTGACAGGGAGTCTTTTGCTGGGAGAGGAGTAGCCAATAGACCCTCTCAGATCCAGACATTTTAAGACTGGGATCCAGCGATGGAATACAGCCTTCTTTTGTTTGACATGGTTTTAAGCCCCAGCCCCAGAAGTCAAAAGCTCTGGCTGAGCAGTTTTCCGTACCCAAGGTGGCCAACTTCCCATTGCCCTGCCATCACCTGAGAACTGGCAGGCGGAGAGATCTGCACACTGTCGTCTTTTAAGCATCAGCCATAACATTGGTTCCTTGCACCTGTTCTGCAGTTTTTGTCTGTCTGGAGACTAGGCCAGCAAGGACCTTCACATTGCCCCACCCCCTTTTTGATCCGAAGTACTGTAGTTTGTGTTCTGAGTTCTTTGCAGGACCCAGTAAACACCCTGATGTGTCGCAGCAGTGTTGCTGGAGCTAAGTAAGCAATTTGCCCCTTGGATGGGAGACCACAGCGATACCCCATACGAGATGAAAGTCTTAAGTGTAATAAGTATCTATTTGAAGTGCTATACATTTCACTGTAATGGTTTCACACTGGGATTTTCTTCCCAGCGTGTCTTCCCCCTTAATGGCTCTTAAGAGTTTCCCCATAATAATTCATTTTGCTACTTTTTCCTGTCTAGTTGGGACCAGTGGCCACAGAAATTTACCCGTCACACTCTTGGCTTTGAAACTGAACGTGATTTTAAACTGATGCCACAATCTGTTTTTGGACTGTACTTTCACGTGCGTCTCCCCAACCGTAATGGACATAGGCAGTGTCAGAACGTAATAGGAAGAAATGTGCAGAGAAAATCCCTGTTCGAATAGCTCTTAGTCCTGATGAGTGCAAAGCATTGGGCAAAACTCTGTTTCTCAGTGTGTCTGTTTTGTATGTAACCACTACTGTACAATAAAATAATTGACTAATGGGGGTGACAGAGAAGAAAGGATTCCCAGGTTTATGGTATTGTCCATGTAGTAAATTTCTGATGCATTAATCCGGAGGAAGAAAAAAATCAGTTTCATGCACTTTATTTTGATTTTTCTTATTTTTTTATATGAAAAGACCTTTTTATTTTAAAAAAAAGTCTGCATTTTAGGTACATGACGTATGTTCTTAAGCTGTTCTGTAACATACTAAAGAAATGGATATTTCAGTAAAAATGTGTTAATGTTTTGCCTTCTTTGTGCTCGAGTTGTGGTTTTCACTATTTTAAGAAGTAATCTTCTATTCCTCCTGATACATTTGTGTAAGTTCCCCCCCCCAAGCCTTTTAATAGGTGTTTTTCTTTGTTTGGTTTGGTAGGATGAGTGGGAGAAAGATTCCGTAGATTGGTAAAGGACCACA